TCATCACCCAACACCCCAAGTCCTTCTCCTCGGGACTGCTTTCAATCCATTCTCTGCCCAGCCTGTCCTTGTGCTTGGCATTGCCCCGACCCATGTGCAGGACCTTGCACTTGGCTTTGTTGAACTTCATCAAGTTCTCTCAGGCCCACCGCTCCAGCCTGTCCAGTTCCCCCCTTCCCTCCAGTGTGTCCACAACACCACACAGTTGGTGTCATCTGCAAACTTGCTGAGGGTGCCCTCGATCCCACTGTCCATGTCACTGACAAAGATGTTAAACAGCACCGGCCCCAGTACTGACCCTGAGGAACACCACTCGTCACTGGCCTCCACTTGGACATTGAACTGTTGACCAAAACTCTTTTGAGTGCGACCATCCGGCCAATTCCTTATCCACCAAGTGGTCCATCCATCAAATCCATGTCTCTCCAGTTCAGAGACAAGGATGTCATGTGGGACAGTGTCAAATGCTTTGGACAAGTCCAGGTAGATGATGTCAGTTGCTCTTCCCTTATTCATCAACACTGTATCCCCGATGTAGAAGGCCACCAAATTAGTCAGGCGGGATTTGCCCTTGGTGAAGCCATGTTGGCTGTCACCAATCACCTCCTTATTTTCCCATGTGCCTTAGCATAGTTTCCAGGAGGATCTTTTCCGTGATCTTGCCGGGCACAGAGGTGAGACTGACTGGCCTGTAGTTCCCTGGGTCTTCCTTTTTGCCCTTTGTAAAAACGGGGGCTGTGTTTTCCCTTTTCCAGGCGGTGGGAACTTCACCGGATTGCCATGACTGCGGTGGGTTTTGACGCTGCCAGGGTGACATAGGGCTGCTGGAAGGGCTGTGAGCGTGTTGGTCAAGGGATTAGGTCAACTCAGTCTACTTAGAGGATGGAGTGGCTGGTTCATCAAGCTGACTGGCACATGCCCTTGCCCTGCCTGGTGGGTCAGTTGGGTGTCTGGACTGTAGAATGCTGGGGAAAAGATTTAAAATTCAGCTGTTTATGCTGATCCAGCAGCATTCAGCTCTGAGGCTGTCTGGTAATGGAGCAGCACGGCTTGGGCAGTAGGAATCCAGGCTTCCCAAGTCTTTCTGGGCACCTTGTAGAAAATGAGTCATTCTTCTAGGGTTGCCATTACTTCTTCTCTGGTTAAGGACACTTCACAGGAGTGATGGCTGAAATTTGCATTACTGGTTTCCCAGGCTCAGGGCTGCTGGCAGGCAGCTGGTGTGACACATCAGGACTTTCTTAACTTGCGGTCTCGTTTTAAATGCCTGCAGATGACCAGGAACCACGGGAGCCGTTGAACTCGATTGAGAAGGAAGCCGAAGCCGACTTGGCCAACCATCAGCCCAGCAAGGAACAACGGAAGAACGACTGCAAGAAAGGCAAGAAATACTCCCGCCTCTCCTGCTTGCGTCGCCGCCGTCACCCCCAGAACGTGGATGAGAGTGACCTGAGCGAGGGCTTTGACTCCGACTCCAGCCAGGGCTCCATAAAGGGCAGCGACGGCTCAGAAAGTGGCTCAGAGAAGAGTGACGAGGAAGCTGAAGCTGCTTTTGATGTGGAAACGGACTCTGACATGAACAGCCAAGAATCTCGGTCTGACTTGGAGGACATGGAGGATGAGCCGGGTGAGGAGGGAAGCAGCCAAGGCAAAAGCGGCCCCAAAGAGGCCTTAAAAAACTGTGTGGATGGCAGTGGGCTGGGGGACTCCAAGAGCCCCAGCATCTCTAAAATTGAGGCTCCGGATCCAGTGGTCAACGGGCCAGCGTCCCTGAGCGCTAACGACGCAAGCATAGCCAGTAATCTCCAGGCCATGTCCACCCAGCTGTTCCAGACCAAACGCTGCTTTCGCTTAGCTCCCACTTTCAGCAACATCCTTCTGAAACCCAGCAGCGAGCCGCCCATCCTGAAGGATGGAATGGAAAGCAAGCCGTGTGTCAACGGAGATCTGGAGAAGTCCAGCTTGGCAGAGCAAGGTGAGGATCAGCGACCTCGTTCAGAATATCTCTTGTCGCACTTCTGTTGTGAGAACTGCGAGCTGCAGCAGTCTGTTTGCTAAAATCCACCCTGTCTCATGGTGCAGGTTCTCTTCTGGCCAGGTTTGAAGGAGCAGGTTGCCCAAGTGCTGGGCAAGTCTTGTGTTGGGTGTTTCCTGAAGGAGCAGCTTTACTCTTACTGCCTGACATGCAGGAATATGTGCGCTGAGCGGAGGAAACACCTGCAGCCAGGCAGGGTTATCTGTGTTGTGTTGAACATAGAGTCATAGAGTCATCTGGTTGGAAGAGACCCTCAGGATCATCGAGTCCAACCATTCATCCTGCACTGTCAGGGGCCCTAAACCATGTTCCTCAACACCAAATCCACATGTTTTTTAAACACCTCCAGGGATGGGGACTCCACCACCTCCCTGGGCAGCCTGTTCCAATACTTCATAACCTTCTCTGTAAATAAATTTTTCGTGATATCCAACCTAAATTTCCCCTGGTGTAACTTGAGGCCATTCCCTCTTGCCCTGCTGTTCATAACGTGGGAGAAGAGACCGACCCCCATCTCCCTACAACTTCCTTTCAGGTGATTGTAGAGAGCAATAAGGTCCCCCCTGAGCCTCCTCTTCTCCAGGCTGACCAGTCCCAGCTCCCTCAGCCGCTCCTCACAGGACAAGTTCTCCAAACCCTTCCCTAGAGCAGGCTGAATGCTGAGCTGCTGTGATAATACAGACGATAATTAAAAATTTGGACCATCTTTCTTTTTCCCCATGTGAAATCTCTGTAATCAGAGATTAAGAGCGCGTCTGGCGATGACGCTGCAGATGCAGTCCGGGAAGGTCTCCATGCGTAGTCATGTTACCAGCTCTGCAAAGCTCTCCTAGGAGCTGCTCTGTACGATGTGAGCCAGGTGCCTGCCAGAGGAGTTGAGGGCCTCATTCTGTGACCCCCTGAATGCTGCTCCGCTGCGTGCTCCGGGCTGGATCAGGCTGCGGATGCACAGCAGGTGGAGCTGCGATGTCTCTACTACCGTGCAGCTTACACAACGGAGTAATGTGCTGGGAAAAAAACAGCTTGGAAGGGAGATCTGATGCGCTACAGGGAGTTGTTTGTGTTTCAGATAAAACCACATGGGCCTGTTTGGTCTTGTTTGTCATCCCTCCCAGCTTCCCTGGAGCAAGGAAACATTTTTGCGTCGTGCTGCCACATTCAATGGGCTGCAGCACTGGCAGGAGCTGGGATTTGCAGGGGGAGTATTCCATCACGGTACTGGCTCCCGGCATTGCTTCAGAGCCACTTGGAAGAGATGGGGGTAAAGGAAGAAGCCAACAATTTTTGGTCTGTGTAACGTTTTCCTTCAGTGGGTTACACAGATGTTGCAGCTCCAGGGGTGTGTTTGAGTCGTGTGGCCGCGATACCTTTGCAGATGCAGAAAACGAGAGGTTGGATGAGGCAGTTTGAATGAATTAACCATGTGCTTTGGGCTCTCCTTGCCTCAGCTGTGCTGTTTCAAAAGTTGAGCTGTTTAATGATCTTAGCACTCTATCAAGGATGGTATCTGAATAAATTCCTTCATCCCTTTTGATTCTGCGGGTTTATTGAACAATAATTGCAGTGCTAATAGGCAGAAATGACCGTGTAATTAAAATAAGGGACTGTAGCAAAATGTACCTCTGATTCCCAGCTAGCTGCTCCCTTGATCTCAGGTATTTTCCTCGGCAGTGGCTTTGAGATCCTCAGGTCTGTAGAACTACAAGATTGCAAAGCGTATTCAATATTTAAATATTCGATATTTAGTGAGTGTCTCAGAGGCTGCTGCAGGGGTTAAGGCGTTTGCCAAACTTCTACAAGGAGATTTCAGCAGTCTTCTCCCAACAAAAATTTTTTACCATGAGAGTTGTAGAACACTGGAACAGGTTGCCCAGAGAGGTGGTGGATGCTCCATCCCTGGAGACGTTCAAGGCCAGGTTGGACGAGGCCCTGAGCAACCTGATCTAGTTGGAGATGTCCCTGTTCCTTGCAGGGGGGTTGGACTAGATGGCCTTTGAAGGTCCCTTCCAGCCCTGACCATTCTATGATTCTATGATGATTCTATGAACAAAGAAGAAAACGTGGCAGTGATCTGCTCTTACCAACAGCACAGGGACAGGGAACTGGTTTTGTGAGGATGTGTGGAGGCACTGAGAAGTTCAGCTCAACTCTTACCAGCCCAGTGCTGCTCTCATACCAGCAGGGCTTGGCTTCTCAAGGGGTTTAATGCCTGCCATCCTGCTTTTCCCTCCGTTTTCCAGATGATACGTCTGACTCTGAGGAAAGCATTTCAAGTAACAAATCCTGCAGGAATGAGCGATCCCTTCAGGAGAAGCTAGAGATTGTGACCAACGAAGGGCTGCTTCTCACTGTCAAGGTGTTCCTGGACTGGCTGAGGACGAACACAGACCTCATCATCATGTGTGCTCAGGTAGGAGCTGCGCTCGGTGTTGGGTCCAAGGCTACGTCTGTTCAGTTCCCCTGGGCTGGGATGCCAAGGGCATGTTGAAACTGGTGTCCCAGTCCTGGACAGAAGGTGATGTTAAATACCCCACCAGCTGAATTAATTCTTGACCTAAGAAATGTAGTGAAGTTTCCTCTTCATAAAGCATTCTGGGGTCTGTGAAAGATGTTAGAAAGCCCAAGCGGCTCGGTTACTGCCTACATCTGTCTTGATGTTTTCTGTGGCCTTTTGTGTCTTGTTCCTGCAGAGCTCTCAGAGCCTGTGGAACAGGCTGTCTGTGCTCCTGAACCTTCTGCCTTCTGCTGCAAACCTGCAGGAATCAGGTACTGGAGAAGGAAATGGCAATGTCATGTTTCAGCAATCACTAGTCACCAGTGATTTCCAGGGGGTGTGATAGATCCCGGGGCGAGAGGTTTGCCAGTAGCAGTTTGCTTGTAAGCACAATGGGAAGCAGCATCGTGCTCGTGTTGGTTTTGTGTTTAAACACTTTTCCAGTTAAATGTTTTAGCTCTGTTAATGGGCTGTATATGGCTGGTGATACACTGAAACACTCACACCTGTGCGTGAAGTCTTTGCCTGGGCAGCATGATTGGAATTAACTGTCAAGACCATGAGTAAGAGTATGATTTTCGTCATGGCAATCATGGAAACTAGTTTTGAACCTCCAAATGCTCTTGATGTGCCCTGGACCTCAGCCTAAAGATCCCCATGGCTCATGAGCAGCGTAGTTCAAACAGGGATGCTTGTCTGTTGGAATGATTGGGAAAGCTAACCCCCCAAACGACAGTTTTTCTGAAGTGATGTGCCTCAGCAGGTTGTTTGGGGCAGTTACTCTTCATATTGTGGGTGGCCTTTTTGTTCCTCCCTCAACACATGCTCACAGTAAAAGTGTAATTCAAAGCCTCTCGTTGCAGATTGTGTGCCTTAAAGAAGTTTTCCTCTTTGTCCCCACATGGGTTGTGGAAGTCACCACGTATTCCTGTGCTTCCCCTCCCTCCTCTCCAGGGCTGGCCCTGTGTAACGAAGTCAAGGATGTTCTGAGTGGTGCTGAGCTCCCAGACCTGAAAGCCAACTTGCTGCTCCCGGAAGATGTGGCCCTGCGAAACCTTCCTCCTCTCAAAAATGCACACAAGAGGTTTAACTTTGAGCAGGACCGGCCCATTTTCTCAGCAGTGGAGGAGGTGAGGCAGGATAAATCCTGACTCTTGGCACAAACTGCATCTCCCTTTCTGGAATTGCACCCTGTCTTCGCTGTGCAGACGACGTTTTCTCTGGCCTAAAAAGACCCCAGACTGATTCAAACTGTTGAGTCTGAGATGGGTTCATGTTATTGGTGGTTGCTGCAGTCATCTGTCTGTCCAAAAATCAGTGTTCAAGAAATTGCCCTCCCTTCCCTGCCAGAGTCATGACGCACAGACACATTTTGACAGCTTTGCTGCTCGAAGTCTCCTGGTCTCCCTGTCTGGGCAGAAGAGTTGTCTCTGCCCTGCCTTGAGTGAAGGGGGTTTGGTTGGAGCTGCAGGATACTTCCTGTGATCCTTCTCTAGTAAATGCCAAAGTCAGTGAAATCTCACTTCATGTGGCGCCCTGTCCCCTGGTAGAGCACAAAGGGCCGAGGTGATTGTCTCTGGGTGGGGGAGGTGTGCAGAAAAAGGCATCGTTCTTCTCCTGCTTGCCTTGCTAGAGCAATCTGCTTCCTTTGGAGCGGGGAATCCATTCACATCTTCTGCCTCCGTGCGAGGGCACTGCTCTGACACACGAGGTGGGACCCGTGTTGGTGAAATCACAGTCCTGAGACAGGCTGAGGTCTTGAGTGTCATCCCCAGCTGCTGGGGCAGCAAGTGCAGCAATCTCCCGTCCCACACGCGCTCACCGTTCGCTGCCTTCGCTCAGCAGCCCAGCCAAGAGTAGTGCTGGCCCCAGAACCAGATACACATCGGAGTTTTGTTTGATTCCTTTTCCCAGCACTGAGGGCTTGAGCAGAGATTTATGGGGCAGAGCTTTTCCGAGGTTTTCTTGAGTTTGGGAAGTCCAGACTGCAAGCACTTCTGAGCTTTCTGGCCAACTGGCTTTCCTAAGGTTTCTGCCTTCAGAAGCACGTTTCCATCAGAAATGTTTCCTTTGGGTGTTTTTTTCATAGCAGTTTCTGTCTTTTCCAAAAGAGGGTTGGAGCTGGCTCAGGGAGCCAGCCCCACAAGCCCCGTGGGGAGACGTGGCTGGTGATTGCCTCTCTGCTTCTTTGCAGTCTGTTGTTCGAATTTGCTGCATTCGGAGCTTCGGTCACTTCATTACCCACTTGCAAGGCAGCATCCTGCAGTTCAACTCCGAGCTCGGGATCTTCATCAGCATAGCACAGTCGGAGCAAGACAACCTGCTGCACCAAGCCCAAGCCCAGTTTCACATGGTGAGTTGACAGAGGTGGGCTAATTCTCTGTACTTGGCACAATTTCCTGTAGATCACAGATCTTTGGTGGGAGTTTTGCTCCTTAAAGCTCCTCGAGTGTCCCCTTTTCATCCTGTTTCTGGAAGCGTGTGCTAGTGTCAGCTTGTGTGCTTCCTGCTAACTGATCTGGAAGTTTGTTTTTGTAACTAGGCTGCAGAGGAAGCTCGTCGGAACAGGCTAATGAGAGATATGGCTCAGCTTCGGCTGCAGGTGAGAGATGCTGGTTCCAGCACCATCCTGAAAGCTGGCAGGGTAGTGGCTGAAATGTCTGAAACTAGGAAGGGAAGGGGGAGCTCTCTGCCCCCATCCCGCACAGAGGCAGTAAGTCTGTTCTGCAAAGACAGAACTGTAGGATATCTCGAGTTGGAAGGGGCCCATAAGGGTTATCGAATCCAACTCCCTGCTCCTTTCAGGGCTACCTGAAACTAAACCATATCCCTGAGAGCACAGTCCAGACGTGCCTGGAACTCTGACAGTGTGGTGCCGTGACCACTTTCAGTGACCGACCACCCTCTCAGTGAAGAACCTTTTCCTAACGGCCAGTCTGCACTTGCCCTGACGCAGCTTCATTCCATTTCCTCATGTCCTGTTGTTGGTCACCAGAGAGAGGAGATCAGCACCTCCCCATCCGCTGCCCCTCTCGAGCAAGCTGTAGACTGCGATGAGGTCCCCCTCAGCCTTCTCTTCTCCAAGCTGAACATGCCAAATGACATCAGCTGCTCCTCATAAGTCTTGCCCTCTAGACCTTTCACCACCCTGGTCCCCCTCCTCTGGACACACTGACAGTTCAATGTCCATATGTTGAGGTGCCCAAACCTGCACACAGGCAGAGCTGCTGCTGTGTGGAGTGGGACAGTCGCCTCTCTCTGCCCCACCAGCTGCATCCAGCCCTCTGCTCTGTGTCCTGGGAGGCTGGAGGGGCCTGAGGGAGCTTTGCAGGATGAGTCTTGCCCTGTTTGATGGTTTGTTTCAGCATTAATGTGAAGCAAGTGCCTCTGCCTGTGTTTTTTCAGCTGGAGGTTTCTCAGCTGGAGGGAAGTCTCCAGCAGCCCAAAGCGCAGTCAGCCATGTCTCCGTATCTCGTCCCGGACACCCAGGCCCTCTGCCAGCACCTGGCTGTTGTCAAGCAGCTGGCGACCAGCGGGAGGTTCATCATCATCATCCCCCGAACAGGTACGGAGACTCCACGTCAGGTAACTGAGGTCGCCTTCCCCTCGTGCCCTCCTTGCTGGGAATCGAGTGCTGTGGGCTGTGGGCCGCGGTGGTGGCTTTCTCTTTGACTGCTCTTGTCCTTTCCTTTGGCTGGAGCAGCTGAAACACCCTTCCAACGTGCCACTTTTGGGGCCTGTGTTGTGTGTGGCCCATGCTCAGAAGCTGACATAGCGTATGGAAGAACAGATGGAGAGAGGGAGGCTCTGTCCACCCTCCGCATCGTCTGCTGCCGTGCACCAGAGACACATCAGTGGGATGAGGAATTCTTGACAGAGCTGGTTTGCAGAGGTAGACCTGTAAGCCAGATGTATTTTGTTTCTCTTTTTTTCCAGTGATTGATGGCTTAGACTTCCTGAAAAAGGAGAACGCAGGTGCCCGGGACAGCATCCGGTATCTGGAGGCAGAATTTAAAAAGGGAAACAGGTGAGAGTGGGGGAGCGATGCGCTTCGCCCTTCCTGTTGGAATGGGTGTATTTTTGGGGAGGGAGAAGTTGCCAGTGGTGGGAGAAGGCTGTGCATCCCTTGGAGCAGAGTGAGGAGTGGGCCAAGGGAAAGCCAGGGCTCAGGAGTGCACCTGGGGAGAGGGAATCATAGAATCATAGAGTGGTTTGGGTTGGAAGGGACCTCAAAGATCATCCAGTTCCAACCCCCCTGCCATGGGCAGGGAAATCCTCCCCTACACCAGGTTGCCCAAAGCCTCATCCAACCTGGCCTTGAACACTTCCAGGGATGGGGCATCCACAATTTCTCTG